TGACCCCTTCTCGAAAGGCCCTTTCACCAAATACAGTCATAGTCTGGGGTTTTGGAGTTGAGACTTCAACATGGGAATTCGAGGGGACACGGTCCAACCAATCCAGTCCATTACAGTGCCTCTGTTTTTAAAAAGCAAAATATGGCAGTTACATGCAAATTTACTTTTAAAAAGTTTATTTGGAAAGAGAGAGACAGAGCACCAACAGGGGAGGGGCAGAGAGAAAGGGAGAGAAAGAACCCCAAGCAGGCTCTACAATAGTCAGTGCCGAGCCCGACGTGGGACTCGAACTCACAAACCGTGAAATCATGACCTGAGCCAAAATCAAGAGTCAGATGCTTACCGGACAGGCACTCCATAAATTTACGTTTTTGCTCCATCTCTTTTGTCCATCGGGGTATCCATACCCTGAAATAAACATGAATTATTCCAAGAATATATATGTGTCTGTCACTATTTTTTTTCTAATGTTTATTTTTGAGAGAGAAAGAGAGACAGAGCATGAACCAGGGAGGGGCAGAGAGAGAGAAGGAGACACAGAATCTGAAGCAGGCTCCAGGCTGTCTGCACAGAGCCCCATGTGGGGCTCGAACCTATGACCTGAGCCAAAGTCAGATACTTAACTGACTGAGCCACCCAGACGCCCCTGTCTGTCACTATTAACAAGATATTACACTTTCATACATTAAATATTTTTATATAAATGGTATCACGTTGTACGTATCCTTTGATTGGCTTTTGTTCGTCAACAATAGCTTTTTGAGCCATGTCCATGTTAATATGTGTAGGCCTACTTGGTTCTCTTTTTTTTTTTTTTTTTTTACAAATAGTTTATTGTCAAATTATTTTCCACATAACACTCAGTGCTCATCCCCAAAGTGCCCTCCTCCATGCCCATCCTCCCCTCCCCCCCACATCCATCAGTCCTCAGTTTTTGTCAGCATTCAAGAGTCTCTCATGGTTTGCCTCTCTCCCTTTCCCCCACCATTTCTACTTGGTTCTCTTTACAGTGTAATATTCCAGTGTAAAAATAAACCACAGGAATCCTTTCCCTTATTGATGGAAAGTTAGGTTGCTCCCCCTTAATACTATGTTTGTTTTTTTTTTAATGTTTTATTTATTTCTAGGAGAGAGAGAGAGAGACAGCGTGAGCAGGGGAGGGTCGGAGAGAGAGGGAGTCACAGACCGAAACAGGCTCCAGGCTCTGAGCTGGCAGTCAGCACAGAGCCCGATGCAGGGCTCGAACCCACGAACCGTGAGATCATGACCTGAGCGAAAGTTGGAAGCTTAACCGACTAAGCCACCCAGGCGCCCCACCCCTTTTTTTTTTTTTTTTAAATGTTCCCTTAATACCATGTTAAACGACAATATACATAAGTTCTCTGTGTACCAATGAGCATTTTCTAGTGTACACACCAAATTTGGTCATAGGATGACACCTTTACCTGATATTGCTATTTTTCTGTGATATAGTTACAATTTATAGTAACTACAATTTACAGTACCAGTGTATAGTCTTATAAGCAATATATGTCCTTTTCCACCACATCTTTCTTTTTTTCTTCCTTCCTTCCTTCCTTTCTTTCTTTCATTATTAAAATTTTTTAACATTTATTTATTTTTGAAAGATAGATCACGAGCAGGGGAGGTGCAGAGAAAGAGTGACACAGAATCTGAAGCAGGCTCCAGGCTCTGAGCTGTCAGCACAGAGCCCAACATGGGGCCTGAACTCACGAGCAGTGAGATCATGACCTGAGCTGAAGTCTTAACCCACTGAGCCACCCAGGTGCTCCTTCCCATACCCTTCTTAAAGTTTGGGGCTGTAAGGCATTGATTTTTGTCAGTCTTATGAGTGTGACATGGAATATCACCTGTGTTTTAATTTTTACTGTTCTGATTGATAGTGAGATTGAATATAATCTTTTATGATTATTTGCCATTCAGATTTTCATCTGTGTAACTGCCTTTATATATTTTTTCATCCTTATTCTAGTGATTTTCAAATTACTTGTGCAAGTTTCTTTTCCTTCTTCTTTTTTTTTTTTTTAGGATTTTGTTTTTAAGTAATCTCTATACCAACATGGGGTTTGAGATTAAAGCCCTGAGATCAAGAGTCACACACTCGGGGCGCCTGGGTGGTTCAGTTGGCTAAGCCTCTGACTTCGGCTCAGGTCACGATCTCAGGGCTTGTGGGCTCGAGCCCTGCCTTGGGTTCTGTGCTGACAGCCAGCTCAGAGCCTGGAGCCTGCTTCAGATTCTGTGTCTCCCTCTCTCTCTGACCCTCCCCTGATTGCACTGTCTCTCTCTCTCTCAGAAATAAGTTAAAAAAAAACCAACATAAAAAAGAAAAAGAGTCACACACTCTACTAAGCCAGCCTGGTGCCTTTGTGGAAGTTTCTTATTTTCTTTATTTTTATTTTTTTATTTCTGAGAGAGAGAGACAGCGTGAGCAGGGGAGGATCAGAGAGAGAGGGAGACACAGAATCTGAGGCAGGTTCCAGGCTCTGAGCTAGCTGTCAGCACAGAGCCCGACACGGGGCTCGAACCCACAAACTGTGTGATCACGACCTGAGCTGAAGTCAGATGCTCAACCGACTGAGCCACCCAGGTGCCCCTTATATATATCCTTAATTTTAAGTCACTGTGCCAGGCTGCCTTGTGTTTCATTCTATTTGTTTTCATGACATCTTTTAATGAAAAGAAATTTGAAATATGACCAAATTTATCCTTCTTTTCCTTTATGATGTGTGCTTTTTCCATTTTGTTTATGATATTTTTTTCCTCCCTGGATGTCATAGGAATAATGGCCTATATTTTCTCATAAAGTGTTTAAAGTTCTTTGCAAACTTAAGTCTTTAATCTGCCTATTTTTTGTCTTGTGTACAGTGGGGACGCATCTGATTTTTTCTTCTTGCCCATGGAGAGCCAGTGATTTACCAAACAGTCCATTCTTTCCTGGTGGGGAAATGCCTGGTTTGTAATGCCTTTTTGTTAAAACCCAATTTTCCACACATATATGTGTTTTCATTTCTGGCCTTTCGATTCTCATCCATTAATTTTTTTTTCCCCAGAATCCTTTGGCCAGTAGTATATTGTTCTCATTCTTCTAATTATTATGTCTTTATAACACTTTTTTTTTTTTTTTTTTTTTTTGCTATTTGATAGTATGGCTACTTTTTAAAAACTGTTTATTTGTTTTTGAGAGAGAGAGAGAGAGAGAGAGAGACAGAGTACAAGCAGGGGAGGGGCAGAGAGAAAGGGAGACACAGACTCCAAATCAGGGTCCAGGCTCTGAGCTGTCAGCACAGAGCCTGACATGGGGCTTGAACTCAGGAACCTTTGACCCCTTTGACCATGACCCGAGCTGAAGTCAGCCACTTAACTGACTGAGCCCCCCAGGCGCTTTGAATTTTATTTGTGTTCTTCAAGATTATGTTGAGTATTCTTGGGCCCTTTTCCTTTGTGTTCTATTCTTTTGAGTAAACGGGGTTCTCTGTTGTGTAAAAACCAAAACCAAGGAAACAAACAAACAAAAGAACAAGATATGGGAGCAAGTTAAAAGAATCCAGGAGCCAATATGAAAGAACCACTAATGACCAAAGTTGGAACATTTTTCAACAACAAAATAAATTACAGTCGTACAGGATTGTACTGACTACATGGATCAAAGAATAAAATAAGTATCCACGAGTCCATACGGATGTAAAGAAGCAGTGGAATAAACAAATGGAGGAAAAGGAATAAATCTTCCTGACATGAAAATTCCAAGTAAAAAGGGTAAAAAAAAAAAAGAGAAATAGATCCTCACCATTAGACCACCACAGGAATAACTGCTGTGGGTAAGATCGACCAACGAATGCTCAGATTAGTGGAAGGAACATTCAAGGGTAACAAGATTGTTTTGTAACTTCAAAAATCTGCCCCTCAATAGTTATTCTTATACTGGCTTTAACATGTGTTCACATCATCTTTGATACTCTTCCTTCCAGAGGTAAAACTTAATTGCTCTCCTTTTGAGGGTGGTCTGGACCTAGCCATTCACTTCTAAAGCCTCGAGTATGGAAAGAAAAAGAAAATAACTTGCCAAGAGAGAAACCTGGAAGACACCACCTGAATCTTATTTCCAAGGCTAAGGTCAGGAAGTTATGTTGATGTCATATATCCCTGGTGGGACGCGATGAGAGGAGCGCTTTACCTCTGGGGATTTCTTCCCCCAAACCTATAACTCCAATCTAATTATGAGAAAAACATCAGACAAACCGAAAACTGAAGGATGTTCTGCACAACATCCACTGCTCTTCTCAAGTGTGGGGTCATTAAAGACAAGGAGATATTGCAGCGCTTGGTTGTGCCTGGCCGGCTCAGTCGGAAGAGGGCTGGGCATTTGATCTTGGGGTTGTGAGTTCAGACCCCACAGTGGGTGTAGAGATTAGCTAAAAATAGAATCTTAAAAGCAACAACATGGATGGACCTGGAGGGTATTATGCTAAAGTGAGATAAGTCAGAAAGACAGATATATGTCTTCATTCATATATAACATTTGAGAAACTTAACAGAAGACCATGGGGAAAGGGAAGGAGAAAAATAGTTTCAAACAGAGAGGGAGGCAAACCACAAGAGACTCTTAAATCCTGAGAATAAACTGACGGTTGATGTGGGGGTGAGGGGAAAATGGGTGATGGGTGATGGGCATGGAGGAGGGCACTGTTTCGATAAATACTGGGTGTTGTATGTAAGCCACGAATCATGGGAATCTACTCCTGAAGCCAAGAGCACACTGTATACACTGTACATTAGCTAACTTGACAATGAATTATATAAAAAAAAATAATGAAATAAAACCTTTAGTAAAAAAAAAGACTAGGAAAGAATGAGAAGTTATCACGGTCTTGGTTTGCAAAATCAGAGTCCCCCCAGGCCGGGTGGGAGTAGGGGAATCTGAAACTGTCCTACTTGGAAGGAGAGACTGAAGAAAGGCAGACCACTCCAGACTGGGGGGCTGGTTTAAAAGGTTTTAATGAGCCAGGAAGCTTACAAAGGAAGCTTGTCTTGGGTAACTGCAGGGTAAGGAGGTCTGCACACCTACCCACCAACTGTAAAAGTTTACATAGAGGTTTCCCAGAGGTTCAATCATGTGTACCATTCTGATGGATTGCTTTTTCAAGGCTCCATCCTTGCTTTTTTTTTGAAGACCAACAGTTTTTATCAAAAGATGCAGAGAGCAGAGTCCCCATCCCTTAAGATCCTGGCGGTGTCAGCCTCAGGATCAGGACCCACAGCCATCCAGGTGTCCTGCAGCCCAAGAGCTCAAGGCTGCAATCCTTGAAGTAGCTCCCAGTGTGTGGAAACCACGTGTAGAGCAAACATTCCAAGGGTAGGTCAGGCGGTGAGGGGCCTCCAGCAACTGGGGTCCAGCTTGGTTGGTCAATGGGCAGTGATGTCCTCTCGATGACCAGCCCCAACACGCAGACCAGAGGAGATTAAGAAGATGTGACAATGAAACACAAGACAATTGGATACTGAAACAGAAAAACGGGTATTAGCGGAAAACCCAGTGAAATACAAATGAAGTGTGTGGTTTAATTGATGGTATTGTTGATGGTATTGGCAAGGTTAATTTCTTGGTTTTCACACATGGGCCATGCATTAGGGGAAGCTGGATGAAGAGTCTAAAGGAAGTCTGTGCTATGTGGACAACCGGCTGCGATTCTAAAATTATCTCGAAATAAAAAGTTCTTTAAAAACCCAGTGAGTTACTTGTAAATGCATTCACCCAATGAATAATAATGAATGATCACTCCTTCCTCCTAAATGAGTCCTGTTTTATGACCTCTCATGATAATGGAAAATGTATTTTGCACATTTTGGTGTTCATGCACATAGAGATATTTACGTTTCAGACAGGTGAAGGCATACCCTGCTATAAAAATAACTTCACAAGAGATTTCTTTTCTTTTTACATGGAAAGGCAGGAAAATACACTGGGTCGAACCTGCCACTTGGGAGGGAGATCAGATTATATACTTCCATTTATTTCATTTATTTCTACTTGCAATATTCCTACTCAGGGACTTCTTTTGAGTTTAATATCGACAAGCCTGAACTCCTTGGTTAGTTTATATGAGCTTGTCAATTCAGCTTTCTTATCAGAATAGGGAAAGAATTTACATGACAGCACCTGAATAAACAAGGTACTTTTCTGGGCTAAGAAATTTACCTTAATCTGTCCCTTCAATTTAAATCCCCTTCGCTTCTATATGGGAGACTGGTTGTTCTGATGCCACATTTTCTTTTCCCAAAAGGGGTTGATATCACTTTGGTTCCTTATGTCCACATAAAATTTAGGCTTTAGTTATCAGGGGCACCAGGGTGGCTCAGTTGGTTAAGCGTCCGACTTCGGCTCAGGTCATGATCTCACAGTTTGTGAGTTTGAGCCCCACATCAGGCTTTGTGCTACCAGATTGGAGCCTGGGGCCTGCTTCAGATTCTGTGTCTCCTCTCTCTCTCTGCCCCTTCCCTCCCTCTCAAAAATAAATGAACATTAAAAAATGAAAAAAAAAAAGAGTTTAGTTATCAAAATAGACATAATCCATACCTATTTGTGACCCTATTGGGATTTTGTTCACAATTACTCAGAATTTATTGACTAATGGTGAGAATTTTTATCTTTACAGTACTGAGTTTTAAACTCACAACCATGTTAAATGCATAAATGTGTTGGTTTTGCTTATTCATACATTTTTATGCTTGCTACAAGTTGAATTGTGTCCCCCCCAAAAGATAAACTGAAGTCCTACCCCCTAGCACCTGTGAATGGGAACTTATTTGGAAATAGGACCTTGGTAGAGCCAATCAAGGTGAGATGATGGCTCTATGCCTAAAGGACTGGCATCCTTTTAAGAAGAGGAAAATGTTGGGGCGCCTGAGTGGCTCAGTTGGTTAGGGGTCCAACTTCAGCTCAGGTCATGATCTCTAGGTCCATGAGTTTGAGCCCCGCATTGGGCTCTATGGTGACAGCTCAGAGACCGGAGCCTGCTTCGGATTCTGTGTCTCCCTCTCTCTCTGCCCCTCCCTTACTCATGCTCTGTCTTGCTCTATCTCTCAAAATAAATGTTAAAAAAACTTTTTTTAAAAAAGAAAGAGAGCAAGAGACTTTATGGAATTGAACAAAGCAGAATCAGATGTCAACACACTTGCCCAAAGATTTGTGCAGGGTTTTATGTCACTAAAATTACAAAAAAAAAAAAAAGTCCCATAAGCGATATAAAAGAAGATTGAATGAATTGAGATTCACTTCTTGCATTTCTGGATGGGAAAATTCCAAAAGTGTGGGTTTATTATAGAACATTGGAGTCTCAGATTGTGGGGGAAGAAAGTAGTGCTAGGAAAATGAAGGAAAACAATTAAGTTAGAGCCTTCTGTAGAGCAAAATAAATCTCAGATGGTTCAAAAGACAAATGTCGAAAATAAAACCAAAAATGTACTAGAAGAAAATGTAGATGAACATTGACATAGTTTGGGGAGACCATTTTCTACCACAGACAAAGACTACAAAGGAAATAGTTGGGAGTGTGAGTACATAAAAATGAAATATGTATGCAAATAAAACCAGTAAAATCAAGTTACTGGTATAGGCAAACTGGGGACCCAAAAACTGGAAGATACAGGACAGAGAAAAAAAAAATCTGGTGTCTTTGATACCTAAGAGGTTTTCAGGACTCAGTAAGAAGTAGCAACCTAGCAAAGAAGACTGGTAAAATAAAAACAAACGACCCTGTGAGTGTGTGTTCACACTCAACAAGAGCACAAAAAGGGAGCACAAGGAGTGTCTCCAAAGTGTACATCTGTCCGTTTTTCTGGTGGATCTGGGAGAGAGGAGGCGGGGAAAAAAGACTCTGGGTCTTTTTTCTTTTCTTTTTTTCAATGTTTATTTATTTTTAAGAGACGGAGCGAGACAGTGCAAGCAGGGGAGGGGCAGAGAGAGAGGGAGACGCAGAATCCGAAGCAGGTTCCAGGTTCTGAGCTTGGTCAGCACAGAGCCCCACATGGGCCTTGAACACATGAACCATGAGATCATGACCTGAGCTGAAGTCCCACCCCGGCACCCCAGAAAACTTGAGAATAAATAGAGAGAAGGAAAAAGAGCCGCTGAGGGTAAGAGAATGAATGACTGGGTTGTGTAAAAAGGGAAATGAGTATTACATCAACGCCAGGAAAGAGACTCAGGGCCAGAGATGATGTCTCTTAGTTCAGTTACACCAGATGCCTGAAACGGTGGAGGCACCTCTGCTTTGGGAACCTGACAAGATGGAATGGAAAACTGCAAACGGGAGGCCCCTCATCCTGGGAGACTTTTTCATACCTTTTGATGATGGACTGGATCGTTATTAATGACTGAATGGGATTCTAGTAGGTGCCGGTATCTCTTGACGTTTATGATTGTTTTGCTGAAAGGGGTCTGTGTTAAAAGACCACGGGGCAACTGTGATATTGTGATCTATGATAAGAAATATATTGCATGCGCTGAGCATTGGACTTGGGCTCAGGTCAGGATCTCTTGGTTCATAGATTCAAGGCCTGCCTGCTTCAGCTCCTCTGTCTCCTTCTCTCTCTGTGCCTCCCCTAACCTGAACACTCTCTCTCTCTCTCTTTCAAAAATAAGTAAACATTAAAAAAACATTATCTATATACTACATATCTGGTATTCAACCCCATGACTGGCACAGAACTCCTAAAACACTTGGAATTTCCTATGGTAAGAGCAATAAAAGTCTCTTTTGTTGTGTTAATGAGTGACATTGGGAAACCCCTTAGGTAACTTAAGGAAGGGGTCTGGTTGCCAGGGAAACCAATTATCTGAGGAAAGGGCTGGAACTTTCTTAAACCACCCCCACCCCTGGCTCCTAGGAGGGGAGAGGGGCTGGAGGTTGGAGGTTGGAGGTTGGGTTGATTACCAATGGCCAATGAGCTACTCAATCATGACTAAGTCGTGAAACCTCAGAAAAAACCCAGAAGAGTTTGGGAGAGCTGCCTTCTGGGTTGGAGACCACGTGGAGGGGCTATAGATTGGCGCCTCCAGAGAGGAAGCTTATCCTTTCCCCATTCTTTGCCCTACGCATCTCTTTGGCTGTTCCTGAATTATATGCTTTTATACTGAACTAGTCATCTAAGAAGTGAAGTGTTTCTCTGAGTTCGGTGGGCTGCTCTAGCAAATTAATGGAGCCTGAAGAGGGGATCTTGGGAACCTCTGACTTATAGCTGTGGGTCAGAAGCAGAGGTGACTACCCTGACTTAAGACTGGCTTCTGCAGTGGGGACAGTCTTGTGGACTGAAGGCTAACCTGTGGGACCTGGTGCTATCTCTGCATATATAGCGTCACAACTGAGTTGATGTGGGACCCTCTCTCCAACCCCAACACACACTGGGATTGGTACCAGAGCCTATTCACACACTGTGAAACATGTGTGCCTTAGCTCGGGTTACCATGACAAAATACCACAGAGGGTGACTTCAACGAGAAATGTATTTTCTCACGGTTCTGGGGACTGGATGGCCGAGATGAGCGTGAGCATGGTCAGGGCCTTCCTGGCCACCTGCTCCCGGAAGGGCGCATGAAGAAACGGAGATAACTCCTCAACTTCTTGTGAGGCCACAATCCTATCTGATAAGGGTTCTGCCATTTTGACCTCGTTTTAACCTTAATTCTGTAAGGCCACAAGTCTAAAGGTCTAAACCAAACTGACTCCATCACAGGCTTTAAGTTTCCCCTCTAAACTAGAAGGCCTGAGTTTCGGCTGCCCCTGAAACTATCAGGTAGTTAGTTACACATTGCCCAAGGCAGGAGTAACCACCCTTGCAACACCCAATCAGGAAAGGCCAGCGACCACCCTCCACATTGTTAAGGGAGAGGCCTGGAGTTAGAAACTATAGATAGGATCCTGTTACCTAATGTTACAGTTAACCTGTTAGTCACCGAACAAGATCCTAGGCTCGCTCTGTGATTGGTTGAATTTAAAGGTACTCTAAATGTTGTAATTGGATCCCGCCAAAAGTAACGAATACTCTAGACAATGTGTATGGTCAAACTCACTGTCAATGATGTTGAATTATTATGATTGGATCACTGTTCCCATGTCACAACTTCTGTACCCCCCCCGTCTCAAACCCCATAAAAACCCTACTCTGCCCTTGTTCGAGGCTCTCAGCACAGATCCATATGCTGGTGAAGTCTGGGAGTCCGAGCTTAAGCCCGTAATAAAGCCCTTTGCCTTTGCATATGTGACTCGGACCCCTTGGTGGTCTTGGGATTTTGGGGAGATAGCGATCTGGGCATAACAATTCCTTCCCAAAGAACCTATCTGTGGACATGGTCACATTGGGGGGTTAGGGCTTCAACATACGAATTTTGGGGAGACACAACTCAGTTCTTAGCAATAAATAAAACAGCACACAAATAGAAACAAAGGTTTGGCATTTATCTTTATCATTTCCTTTCTTCCTGACTATACTCTCTTGCTCTTTTTCCAGCTTCTTGAGTTGAACATGTAGCTCATTTGTTTCTTTTCTTTTCTTTTTTTTTGGAGAAGTATATTGGAGATATAATCTTTTGTATAAGTATTGCTTACTTCCATCGGCCAGATTTTGCTGTTTCAGCTCTAAGTATTTCCTGATTTCCCAAGTGAGAGCCTTTCTAATGCAAGACTCCATAAGGTCATGGCATTCTTATTTTTTTAATCTTTTGCTCTTTTCATAAGTATATAATTTCCCTTTTTGTTGCCACATTGGTTTTGTCTGGAGCTTTACCTCCAGATTGCTATAGATATACTTTTTATTGACAGGCAAAAGACAAAAATGGGGAAGTCTTTTTGCTAGATAGGAGATAAGAGTTCTGCCTCGAGTGCTGGGCACCATTCATTCACTCTGTGACAGGGAGTTCTAATATTGTCTTACTGAAGTCCTTTTGCTCATCAACAGAGGAAATGAATGGTATGTATGCTTTCATCAGTCAGATCAGCTAGGTTGTGCTGTATTCACAACCAACCCACAAACTCTCAGGAGTTGAGAACAACCGAGTTTATTTTTTGATCATGCTACGTGCCATCAGAGGCTGGAACTTTCTTAACTTTGCTCAGTGTGGAGAATCGAGTAGGTGGTGGTTACGAGGGGCTCCGTCCATTTTCTCGTACAATCGCCAGGCAGGAAAAACACATTGATTACCACTGGTGAATCCCCCACTGTCTGCTAAAGCGTCTGCCCAGACATACTACTTCACTTGAGTTTCATTAGCCAGAGTCCTACCTAACTTTAAGGGGCCAAGAAAATCTCTGTCTCCAATATTCCAAAGCCAACTTTTGCTTCTTGTTGGTTAGTTGGCTTTCGTTACGGGAGTGATCATACATCCTTCTAGTAAATTTCTTTGATAAAAAACCAAATCAAGCTGAAGTCAGCTGGAGTTAGTTTCTATTGCTTCACAAAGAAAAAAGCCATAGAAAGCATTGGACTGAGTAGATTAGGAAAGCAAACTTCGGCTTACACTCTGGGCTGGTCTGAAGAAAGGGCACACACGAATTTTTCAAGGATGAGGTTTGAAGAAGCCGGGCATGGCAGGAGCCAATGTTTAGATGCAAGTAATTATGGGTAGCCACCGCACACCAGGCAGGGAGCCAGGTACTTTTGCATATGCTATTAAGTTCATTTAATTCTTTATAAAAACAATTTGAGGGGAGGCTTATTATCTATGATTTATGTATGCAGAAACTGAGGCTCAAAGCGGAGAAATGACCTGTCTGAAAGCCACTTAGCCAGCAGAGGGACAGCGTTGGTTTAACTTTATTTTCTGAGCATACAGAGATGAAACAGAATCATGCAAGGTATATGTTTGGAGAGAAGGTATCCTTTGGTTTGGCACGACTGGGAGTTATGTGAAAGGAGACCTTGAGTACAAAAGGTAAGGAGGTTGGAGTTTATTAATTAGGCAGCGAGAGGGAGGTTTTGAGCCATAGAGGCCATTGGCAGAGCTGTGATCGATTATTGATCTGCTATTGATGTCTGGAAATGATTGGAAATGAGGCACCCTGGCGACCTGGAGACCAGCTAGAGGAATGTTGTAAAAACTCTGAATAGCCTGAATGAGCAAGGGTGTTGGCAGTGGAAACAGAAAAAAAAATTCTATCGAGTCTCTAGACCCATCAAGAATTGCTGAATGAAGCCTGAGTTCTCTCTATGTAGGTGGCTCCTACTTTTCATTACAGGTTTCTCAGAAACTTGCTCCCAGAAAAAGCCTGGATCAGAAGCAGGAAAAAAAAAAATAGGCAACTGCCGAAACAAGAAGTCTACAGAGCTCCTTCCCCCGAAATCACCTCTTCCCTATCAGTTACTGATACTGATACATTTCACCAATGCCCTTTATTCTGTTAAGAGTCTCTTATTCAAGTGTGACTGCTTGGGGACAAGAGGCAGAAGAGATGCTGGGAGGTTTCCTCGTTGGCAGTGCCCAGGCAAGTAACAGAAAGGTGTGGGAAGGATCTGGGTGGGCTCCGTGAAGAATAGGGCCCACATTTTCCATAAAGTGGGCTTTTCCGCTTTGGCCGAGGGGCCCAAAGTTGCTGGGTCTGCTATTTCAACAGAAACCTCAAACCCAGAATTTTGGGGGTGGGGCAAGTCCTCAATTTAAAAATTTTGCAACCAGGGGCACCTGGGTGGCTCAGTTGGTTAAGCCACCAACTCTTGATTTCGGCTCAGGTCATGATCTCACAGTTTGGTGAATTCAAGCTCCACATCAGGCTCTGCGCACACAGCTTCGAGCCTGTTTGGGATTCTCTCTCTCCCTCTCTCTCTGCCCCTTCCCCTGTACACGCTGTCTCTGTCTCTCTCAAAATAAATAAAATTTAAAATTAAAAAAAATATTGCAACCAGTTTAAATTTCTCAATAGCACTGTGCTGGCCACATTCCGCTCTCAGTTGGTCACCTCGAGGTGGGGTTGAATTTTAAAACCATTTGATCAGAACCTTTCCAAATTGGACAGCACATGTGTAGTAAAGCTACAGAGCAGGTCCACGTGGATGGTTTGAGGTAGTGCAAGGAGGCATTTGGGCTCTAGGCACCGAGAGAGTGAGAGCCCTGGGCCCCAGGCTGGGCATCTCAGTACCCGGGCCTTGAAAGAGACAAGAGACGCCGGCCAGGGCAGTGGCAATATTCCCTGCAACTGGGGGTGAGGTGGGGGGGGGGTCCTGGCTGACCACCCAGCCCTGGGATTGGAGTGGAAAGAGGGTTGGGCAAAGCGAGTGTTTCTCTGGCTCCCTTCGGCTCCCTTCCATTAACATTACAGTAATGCAGTCGTATGGTGTTTGAAAAAGCGTCCCTAGTTACAGGGAATGATTTACAAGACACCAGACTCTGCATTTCAGAGGTCTCCAGTGCACCATAAAAAATATATTATAAAGGAATAATCTTTATCTGAACTAAAGCAGCAGTGAAGGAAACTCCTGTCCAGCTGAGAGCAGCAGTGAGCTTTTGTTCACTCAGGGAAAAGTCCGTGTTCTTCATCTTATTTGATTAACATTTTTTTCCCCCTGTTTGGCACTAGGTATCTAGTTAATATTTAGACATTATCTACATTTTCTTTCAACTGTGGTTCCTATTATGTGATCAAACAGAACCGGGGATGCCAAGTGCATCATCCCGCCCCGGCAGAGGAGACCCACCAGGCACCCAGCTGTGTCTAGCAGGGTAAACTGGACTCACTGGAGCCCACACCTGGGAGAGACCGGCCCCAGGGGTGTGCGGCACCGGTCCCCCCGTCCCCAGGAAGCAGAGTTCGCTAGAGTGCCTCCTTCAGTTGATCGCTCTCTGCCTCTTCCTCCCACCTCCCTGAGCAAAAGGCAACGGGGAGCAGTGTCTAGTTTTGAATCTTCCAGAGCCTTCTGATGTTTACCATTCCCCCCAGGAGAGGGAGGCGAGGGATGGAAATCTCTCTACCAAGAATATATTACTTAAAAAAAAATTCAATGAGTCGAGGCACGGACACCCTGCAACGCAACTTGTCTCTGCTTATTAGGTGTTCAGAGCGATGCTGGGCTCAGTCTATTCCAGTCCAGGGAAATCTGAACTCCTTTAGCGGTAATGAGGTAATGCCCGCCCCCCCCCCATGGGGCGCAGGTGTACGAGTCGTTAAGGGTGTCGGGGAGGGGACGGCCTCATCTTTGGGGGCAGAGAGCACCGTCACCCAGTGGCCGGACAGAGGCGAAAGCTCTGGGGCTGGGAAGCCTGGGGATCTGTGTCAAAACTCCACCCATCAGGAGCTCCAAGATAAGATGGGGAGGCTGGAATGATGGAAGTTTGTATGCGAAAACAGAGAAGCAATCCCTGCCGGACCCCCGGCAGATGGATACCCGGGGGGTGAGGGGGGGAGAGAAGGGCGGCTCAGGGACAGCCGAGTTGGCCTGGAGTCCCAGGGGAAAAGGGGAAGCCAGGGCTCTGCGTCCTCGGGCCCCCAGCTCCCCTGTGCGCGGCAGCGGCGGCTGGCGCCGGTCTCCGTGTCCCTAAAAGTATCTGGAGAGAGACGGAGCGCGCCGCGTCCCAGGGTCCCCGGGGAGGGGAAGCACGCGGGGCTGGGCGGGGCACGCCTCCAGCGCGTGTGTCGAGTGGGGGGGGGCGCGATCTCCGCTCCCCGGCGCCCCAGCCCTAACGCACGCCTCCGCTTCCGCGCCCCCCTCCGCAGGCGCGCGCGAGGCGCACTCCCCTCCCTCGGCGGCGCGGGGCGCGCGCCCGGCCCCCTCCTCCTCCTCCCCTCCGCGCCTCTCCGCTCTCCCGGCAGAAAGTTAGCAGCGGGGAAGGAACTCGGGGCTGCAACAGCGCGCGGCGGCGGCGGCAGAGGCTGAGGCAGGAGCCGCGGCGGAGCCGGGGGAGCGGGGGCGCCGCAGACGGAGCAGGTGCAGCCGGCGGGTCCGCGCGCCCCCCTCGGTCCCCTTGCCAGAGGCTGAGGGGGGTGGTGGGGGGGCCGCCCGGACTCCGCGGGAAGAGTGGGGCGGGGGGCCATGCGGCCGGGCTCCTTCCCGGCGCAGCGGGACAGCGGCCAGGGCCGGGGGCGCAGCGGCGTCGCTTCATGCAGCCGGGGCGGCTGGGCAGCGGCGGCGGCGGCGGGGGCGGCGGCTGAAACCATGTCCGGGCAGCGCCGGGGGCCGCCGCCGCCGCCGCCGCGAGCCGGGAGCCGCGATGGCCCCGTGGCCCGCACCTCCTCCGCCTCCGCCTCCGCCTCCACCTCTCGCCGCGCCGCCGCCGCCCGGCGCCTCTGCTAAGGGCCCGCCGGCGCGCAAGCTGCTTTTTATGTGCACCTTGTCCCTGTCCGTCACCTACCTGTGCTACAGCCTCCTGGGCGGCTCGGGCTCCCTGCAGTTCCCCCTGGCGCTGCAGGAGCCGCCGGGCGCCGCCGCCGAGCCCCCGCCGAGCCCGCCGCCGCCCTCGCTGCCGCCTCCCCCCGTGCGCCTCGGCGCCCCCTCGCAGCCGCCCGCGCCGCCGCCGCCGGACAACGCGAGCCGCGGGGAGCCGCCCGAGCCCCCCGAGCAGCCCGCCGCCCCCGGGGCGGACGGCTGGGGGCTGGCGAGCGGCGGCGGCGGGGGCGCCCGGGACGCCTGGCTCCGGACCCCGCTGGCCCCCGGCGAGATGATCACGGCGCAGAGCGCGCTGCTGGAGAGGGAAGCGCAGGAGTCCAGCACCACCGACGAGGAGCTCGCAGGCCGGAGGGCGGCCAACGCGAGCAGCGAGAGGGGCGGCGCCGCCAGCACCCCCGACTATGGGGAGAAGAAGCTGCCACAGGCGCTCATCATCGGGGTCAAGAAAGGAGGGACCCGCGCGCTGCTGGAGGCCATCCGAGTACACCCGGACGTGCGGGCGGTGGGCGTAGAGCCGCACTTCTTCGACAGGAACTACGACAAGGGTCTGGAGTGGTACAGGTAGGACCTCGGGCTCGGCGGGAGGGGACGGACGCACCGCGAGACCCGGAGGGCGAGCTGCCGCTTGCCGGGCCCTTCGCCACCCAGGCACCGCCGTCCCGGGCGCCCTTAGCCACAACCGGGGCTCTGCACCCCAGGCGGGGCTGCTCCGGGCAGGGAGTGGGGGAGCGGCGGAGAGGGCTGGACGCTGGCCAGGGATCACTTTATTTCAGGGCGAGGGGTGGAGGCGTCGCCTTGCCCTGCCTGCCTCGGCTCCTGGTCCGGGGAGGTGCCTTCTGAATCTGCCTCGCTCCAAGCCCGGGAATCCCCAGCCTTCGTGCCCGCGGGGTGTTTCCCAGCCCCGGCTCTGGCGGGGGCTCTGCGCCTCTGTGTTGGGGACGACCGGGGAATGGAGCAGGGTACCTAGATTGATCCAGGGGCTTTGAGATCCCCGGGAATCCCTGCGAATCGCCCTGAAACGCATTTGCGTGGCTGGAATCCAACTTTAGTATTTTCAGGTTAGAGCAAAATGAACCGGGAACGGTTGAGAAAGATGATCTTGGCAAGTTTTGGCTTTCTAGTAAAGACTGAGGATGCCCACATCTCCAGAACTTTCTATCCACCCTTGGCTGAATGAACACCGGGTTGCCTTTGCATTGGGAGCACCAGTCTGTCTACATGACAGTTGGTGCCCTGAGAGTGTTCATGCCCTGCACCCGCGCCCTTTCCAACCCGCACCTCCTTCACAACAGACTGGAGCTTCTCCCTTGTGAAATGTTTACCTCTCCCCTTTTCCACCCTCTGCCAGTGGTGAGGAAAAGGGAGAAGAGAGGAGTAGAAAGTTAGGTGCACGTAACATAAATTAAGAATCTGGCTTTCTTGCCAGCTATAGCATTTAACACAACACTGGTGTAGATGCTCAAATGCAAAACCTCCTTTGCTTCCCCCCCCCCCCTTCCTTCTTTCCTCCCGTTTTATATCTCTCTGGAAAACGGATCTGGATGGCTGGCCCCATCTCGGCTGCATCTCAGTAATTAATTGCAATTGTCAAACAGAAACACCGGCTTTGTCAGCTAAAGTGATGTTATCATCTTAACAGAGCCAATAGGTAAAATAACAAGGATTGCTTCCTGACAAGTCGCCTTCCTGTTGAAGAGTTGTGCTTCCCAAGTTTAAATTACAGCCTGGGAAAGTTTTAGAAATAGCTTAACTTAAAAAAAGAAGATAATAAATGGGTATATTGTGATTGATTTCTTCCACTTTAAAAAAATATGCCTTATGCTTTCAAAGCTTGAGAAAAGTACACTTAGGCATAAACATTCCAGCACATTAAACTGAAACAGCAAATGTGTCTGTTAATGTCTTGTCTGTTTCAACAGCGAGAACTAATTGCAATATTTTAGGAGGCTTCAAACAGCCCCTTCCTATCAAAACATAAAACAGCAAATGCCTAATTTAACTGGAAAATCAGTATTTATAACATCACGAGCCATGGCTTCTAGTTTGCCATTATAATTAAAAAGGTGTTAGAATGACTAGTGCAAAACAGCAAAATAGAGAAAGGGGTATGAGGTCTGGGAGGGCTGCGTTTGGTTGTGGGTATATTCTGGTGTCTGCCTGGGGTAGCTTCGGCCCAACGAGGGAAAGGGTGGCTTTTTCCAATTCTAATTTTAAAGCTGCGTATCTCAGGAGAAGTGTCAAGTGCCCTTTTGGGAGAGAGAGAGGCATAAAGATCACATCTTTTCCAGCATGTGTTTGGGTTGCTTTGCAGCAGCTGTAAATAGAAAAGGGAGTGTTTTATTCAGATGACTTAGAGTTTGATGAAGGATTGCAGGGTGGAATGCGTGTCGGGAGGTCCCGGGGCTGCAGGATTTTCTCAATGAGAGGATAGGAGGTGCCGGATTTTCTTAATGTTCTTTCGTACCGTGGCTGGGGAGAGGAAGGCGTAGACACTGGTATGCTGTGGCTGTGGAAGGAGCCATCCCGGCGTGTGGTACTCCCAGCCATCACTGGTGTGGTATTTGGGGCTGAGCGTGAATATTTGGTACCCATCCGCAGAACTGTTCTACTGAAGACATGTGGGCACTTTCCCTTGATCCCCCCTAGGGAGGAGCCTGCAATTTCTCTATGTGTCCCCCATCCTCTACCCCAGTATGTCCCCCATGGCAGGTCCTTATAGTGCTTAGTGGTGCTGATGTCAAGTGCCGGAGAAGCATCTCCGTAATGCACAGGGTATCATTAGCCACTCCGACCTGGCTGCTGGGAAGTCTTCTAGAAACCCCTTCGGCCCCCTGAGAGTGTGCTAGGGCTGCTTGGATTCCTCTCCAGCCTTTCTGGGGACAGCAGCGCTTTGAGTCTTATTTGTGGGATTTTTATAGGCTCTCTCTTCAGCCTCCTCTCTCTCCCTTGGAGGAAGATGAAGACATCCTCCTTATATTGTAGGGGAGGAAACAGTGGCATCAGTTCACAGCAGTAAGAGAAACCCTCCCTCTTGTGTCCCTGGTCCAAATGCACCTTGTTTTCCTTTTAAGTTTATTTATTTATTTTGAGAAAGACCGAGACAGCCCGAGGCGGGGAGGGAGAGAGAGGATCCCAAGTGGGCTCCTTGCTGCCAGCACAGAGCCTGATATGGGGCTCGAACACTAGAAACCTCGAGATCATGACCTGAGCGGAAACCAAGAGTCGGACAGTTGCATCTTTTAAGTGGTGGCGTCTGTACCTGAATGGTCACGCTTGCTCCCCACCCGCGGCGTGGTCCGTGCACCGGCTCCCGCCGCCTGCCAGACGCGAGGGCCGGAGACTAACCGGAGGTTTTGATTCTCCCCCAACTTGTTTTCTTTCCCTTTTTCTTTGCAGCGCGCTTCCCAGTCGCCTGCTGATTCTGCGCGTGTTGCTGGTGTTTGTGTTCTCAGCCAGAGGGAGAAGACTTTGGGGGCAGCTCTGGGTGGCACTGGTTTGGGCTTCCCTCCTATCCTGGGCTACGCAGCCCTGCGAGTTTTATTTCCTCGGTGTCACACCAGTCATGTCTAAATCCGGGTTTTGCTTTCTCCCATCGCTGTTGATCTAATGTGATTTATTTATTTATTTATTTATTTTTTGTTTTTTTTTAATTTATTTATTTCTAGGAGAGAGAGAGAGACAGCGTGAGCAGGGGAGGGTCAGAGAGAGAGGGAGTGACAGACTCAGAAACAGGCTCCAGGCTCTGAGCCGACAGTCAGCACAGAGCCCGACGCGGGGCTCGAACCCACGAACTGCGAGATCATGACCCAAGCGAAAGTCGGACGCTTAACTGACTAAGCCACCCAGGCGCCCCAATCTAATGTGATTTAAAAACACTTTTGAGATTAGGGCATGTGCATCCGATTTCCGGGAAAGATAGACTAATGGATTAGGATGGGGGTGTTATAAAGCCGGGGAGAAGCACGCCTCACTTGGTGGATTGACACAGGCCAGTGATTAATACGTGGGGGTAGACTCAACCCTCCACGACCCACCCCTCCAAACCAATAACGTAAGAAAGGCAGAGCCACAATGCACCTTTCAGAATGGGCTGATCCGAGCTGTCTGGGCTCAGACCTTCTACTCCTCAAAGAGGCGGGACCTGGTGGCCGTCCGGCCGGCCACGGCAGAACTCCTCAAAGTGACAGGGCTGCCTTGAGGTGCTGCCTCCCTTGTGATTCACAGTGACCGTGATTGCTTTGCTTTGGAAACTGCTCAGCTCCAGGGCCATGGGAAGTGACCCCCCCTTGGTTTCAAGTTGTCTTCGCTGCCGACAGTTAATACTGTCAGCCCCCGGGCTAGGGGAAAATGACTCAGGAAGACGGCTGTCATGGCCAGGCTCGTGCTACCCAGAGGAAAGTGGTCACCACAGCACTGTTTTAACATGGCATCCGGAGAGAGAATGGGGGGGACACCATGACGAAATGCCTGCTACTTATGGCGGCTGGCGCTTTGTACACGCTCTGTCACAGTTGAGTGTGACCGTGAGGGCTGCGAGCTTACAGGTGGCTCCCAGACCAATCACTTGCCCCAGGTTGCTCAGCTGGTCCGCGGTGGAGCTGCCACATCTCTCCAACAACCGGACGCTCCTTTCTTCCTTGAATCCCAGCGCCCCATGTAAAATACCAGCAAGGTGTTTCCCTTCCTCCCTTCATACGTTCAACAGATGTGTAATTATATTCAGCACGTACCTGGTATCGTTGTAAGCACAGGAGGTAAAGAGGTGAAGAAGCACTCGGTGCTCGTGACACCAACATTGTTTGGTGGTGGGGAGGAGAGACGGCAAGCAGCCTTTCTTTTCGCATTTTGAATGTGGCTACTCGAGAATTCAGAATTACTCTCGTGACTCACGCTATCATTTCCACTGGGCAGGGCTCCTATTAGAGCAGCGCTTTTGAAGCTTTAAGTGTGCACGGGTCCCCTGGGATGCTGTTGGCATGCACGGTTTTGATTCAGCGGGTGTGAGGAGGGGCCCGAGAACCTGCACTTCTAACTTGCCAGTTGCCATTGATGCCGCTGATCTCTGGACCTCCCTTTGTGTAGTAGAGGTCTAGAGGGAAATTGGTGTGTGCACACCTGTGTTATTTTAAATCATACGATGGGGGGAACACTTCTCTGTGAGGGTGATGCAAATGAAGAGAGAGTTAAGATCCTGCCATGTAAAGATCTGGGTAGAGAGGTTTCCGGTAAGTGGGGACAGCAGGTGCAAAGGCCCTGAGGTGGAGTCAAGCCTTGTGGCTTTACACAGTGTTCTTTCCTTATTCCCAAAGCACAGTGTTTGCAGCTGGACAAAACTGGGTTCAAAATGTGGTTTTACAACCTACTGGTTGGGTAATTTTGGATAGAGGACTGATTTGACATCACTCAGTTTGTTTATCTGGGAATAATTCCTTCCTTGCAGGGTTGTTGGGAGGAATGAATGAAGTAGTAAAGGTAAATGTGTTTTCTGAAAAAAAAAGTGATTGTCCTAGAGCAGAAATCCAAATGGACCCAATTATTGTTTTTTTTTTTTTTTTTTTAAT